TACTCACGAGTAAGTTGCTTTTCGTCCGAATCCGTATTTTAACAGGAAAAGGATCAGCGCTCACCGGCAGCAGCAGCGCGGCTTCACTCCGCAGACTGTGAAGCAGCTCTCAGCGCCGCAACCCCCCTCCACGCTCCGGAGCCCCTTACGAGGTTCCTTTCACGTTTGGAGGGTCACTTAAGGCGCCCACCGAGCCTCAAGACCCCAAGCTCTTGCTGCCTGGGGTTTTCCGGAGTGGGTCTCCGCTTCGCCGTAGCGGACGACCCGTTGTCTGCGGAGCCTCCTCTCCCGTTCAGAAGAGGACCGCCATTGCCGTTCGCGCCGCCCCTCGGAAGTGCCTGGCTTCTGGACTCTCATTCCTGCTCCCACCCCACCATCTTGCCCCCGGTCCCGACGTCCTCAGCCGGGACTTCAATCACCCGTAGACCGGACCGTGACAGTCCCATTGAATTTAATGGAGCTAATTCCCAGGTTAAGTGGGGCTAGAATCACAGTTTCACACACTATTATTTATTAAAATGTCAGAATGCCACCTTTCCGGCAAACGCTTTAGGCATAATGCAGATGTGTGCCTGAGCAGGATTAAGCTTTTAGCTTGTTCACCAAACAACAGATCCATATGCCCCACAACAAATTTTGAAACTCTCCCAAGCTGCTGCATGGTGAGGAGTGCTGTTGTTCAACAGAAGATGAGGAAGGATGAAATGTCTGCATTACATTCCTATGTCCTTTGAATCTTAACTAGGTGCTCTGGGTCACACTTTCTGCAGTCCAATTTAGTATGGTTGCAGTGTTAAGAGAGTTCTGTGTTAAAATGAAAAAAGGGCCAAAGCTTGCTTGCTTACTTACTTACTTTGCATAGCTGGTTGTGCAATGGACAGTAGAAAAGAATATATTCTGGAAACCCGTTAAGGACCAACAATTCCCCACAGTACAAAGTAACAGTTTTGCTCTGGCTTTGACGTATTAAATTGTGAATATGACTAAGGGGCCCAAGGAGAATGACTGGAGTTTCAGTTGATAGAATGAAGGATAGAGAGGAAGAGAAAACTGAAACTATGTCCTAGTCAACTTTTAATGAGAAGAGCCTGCAGGTGAAATGGGGGGGGGGGGCTCATGGAACTGTCAATGGGATAAGGACTCTGTGGCAGAAGAGTGGGCAGAAGAATGAGACACAAGAGGAATAGAATGCTGGGCTGAGTTACAGTGAGTGACAGGTAAACAATGGTTGGCCTAAAAAGCATTGTCCCATTAGGGGCTTTGAAAAAGACAGTGGCTACAAGAGACAGAGGAAATGCAATGAGAAAGTTAAAGAAAGCATATGTAAAGGAGTTAGCATGGTTGTGAAGAAGACGACTTAGGATATGAGCATTCTGTACGCAGTGACTACTTGTTATGGATGTTACGTTCCTTCATTAGATGTTTATGTTTTAACTAGATGCAGCCTTGATAGTGCACTTTGAGGAAGCTCTGTAGAGGCTCATCAACCATTTGGTCCAAACCTGAATGGAGTTTGGCCTCCCCATCAGCCTGATGAAGACCAACATTTTTGGTCAGGACATCACCAGCATCAGCATTGCTGACCACATTCTTGAGGTGGTAGACAATTTTGTCTGCCTGGGCTCCACCATAACCAGCAACCTTTCTATTGACACTGAGCTGGGCAAGCCTATTAGTAAGGCAGCTAAGGAAATGGCTTGCCTCTTGAAAAGAGTACACAATAATGGGATGCTAATGACCAATACCAAGATGAAGGCCTACCAGGTGTGTGTGTTGAGCACACTGCTTTATGGAAGTGAGTCATGGGCAACATAAACCAAACCAGGAGCAAAACCTCAATGTTTTCCATATGTGTCAGGAAGATTTGGAGCACCAATGTGGCAGGACAGAGTCTCAAACAAAGATGTGCTCTTCGTAGCCCACATGTTCACACGTCTGTCCCAGTGATGTCTACGTTGACTTGGGAAAGGGCCATAGCTTAGTGATAGAGCATCTGCCTTGCATGCAGAAGATGCCAGGTTCAATTCTCAGCATCCCCAAGTAGGGCTGGGAAAGACTTCAGACTAAAACCTTGGAGAGCTACTTCCAGTCTGTGTAGACAATACTGAGCTAGATGGACCAATAGGATAAGACAGCTTCCTGTGTTCCTATGATCCTCCTATTGTTCCAGGTACTGAGTTGTGTCAGAAGTGGAAGAAAAATCACAAAAAGTATCAATCTGCTATGAGATTTCACTTTATACAATGGAAGAAGAATGATGGGCATGGAATGCAATATCCCTGTCTCCCATTTTGCCATCATATGTAGTTTATCCACTTTGCTAATACAATATGCTGAAGAACAGTCATGGCTTCCCCAAAGAATTTTGGGAACTGAAATGTGGTGAAGGGCTGAGTTTTCTAGTCCTCTGCCCAGAACTATGGTTGATATAATCTCAGTCTCCAAACTTTTTCCTTTCTGTGACAGTTATAAGAGAGTTGCTTACAGCCTGGCAAAATAGGAATGGGCAAATCCAGTCCATTTCTATTGAATGCCAGTTTTGCATCAGTTAATACATAAATTCACTATGTGTGTTCACGCTTAAAAAATCAAATCCATCAATCACATTCAAGTCCTCGAAATCAGTGGTGAAATAGTATTCTGTTAATGATTCTATTAGACCATTCAGCAGCTATAAAACACAGCACACTTTAGTCCCAAACAGAATTCATGTGGTTAAAATCCTCTTTAAATTAATTGCATTCATATAAAAAGGAGAGTCTGTTGACCTCGAAAGTACCAGATTATATTTCTTCCCATCTGTAACATTTAATCCAAATTACATAAACTAAATGTGGTCGCTATTTTAAGATCTAGCAGTGAAAACCAAAGTCAGTTTGGGTTCCAATTCAATACACATTTACTTGGGAGTAAGTCCCACTGAACTCAGTGGGATTTACTTCTGAACAGATCCACAAAAGAATGTTGCTCAAGAGAATGACCACTGAAAAGCATTTTTAGCCAAGTAAGAAAAAGGAAATAATATCAAAATCTTCTTCGAAGTCCACCTAAGTTATCAGCAGAAGACACAGACATCTTGATATGTCAGCCAGGCAGCATAAACCTGGAATAGTCATTTGTGACAGCCTGAAAGAAGAGACGATTGAATTATTTCATTGTACAAGAGTTACCTTTCCTGGCCATCTGTAGGCTATGAATCTTACTCCACAGATGAGCTGTTTTGAACTACTATCATGACTATATCCTCTGGCTCTTATAAGCTGTAAAGTAATTTATTTGATTCGTCAAGACATGACACCCTTTGTGAGGCAAGAGAAACATGCTAGTATATGACATGCCATCTGAATTCCTACTAAAACACCTTTAACTGCTACAATATCTTAGGTGTACTGAGTTGCACTGAGACATTTAGGAATTCCTAAATGATGAGACAGTATTTTCAGTCGGTGAGAGCTTTGTAGTAGACAAGGTTTCCTATGTGGAGATAGCCTCTGTGTAATGGGGGAGGGTTGTTTTTTTAACAAATCTGAAAGTCAGTCAGAAAACATTTGAAACTTGTTCAGAAATCACCTTCATGCTCCCATTCTGCTTTACAGAATAGATTCCTTTTTTCTAGCATGAAAAATATTAAGACTGGACCTTAGTAAAAGCATTCAAAAGAAACTATATAATGAAGATGGTAAGCAGTTATCTGTAGAACAATATTCTGAAGACCACGTCATGTGACATCTATTATTTTTAAAGCCGCTTCCTTAAGAAAAACACCAGTACTAATGGAATTGAACTATTTTTCCAAAACTGCACATTAAAAAAAAATCATTTGGAAATGTACAAACACTCAAAAATGCTATTTTCTAGGCACCTCTTTGGAACTGATGGGGCATGACAGCTGTTGTACACATAAACCACATCTAGGAACATACCGGCAGCTGTTTTCCAGTGGTCCATCTATCTCAGCACTGCCTAAACTGACTGACAATGGCTCTCCAGAGTTTAAGATGGGGGACTTTCCCAATCGTACCTGAATAAGCCAGGGAGTGAACCTAAAATCTTCTGCATGAAAAGCAAATATGCCCTTTCCCTGCTTCAAATCACTATACTGTATCCTTAAACTATGCCTGTTCACTGCACCCAAAAGGTTTTTCACACAATATTGTAAAACCTTCTAGAATAAACTTCTGTTCTGCATTTTCTTTACCGATGGTGAACCATTAAAAGTGTACCAGAGAAAAATAATTAACTATGCCCACTTGAGATCTATAGAGCTTATAATGCTCTATTCTTGGAAGAACTACTTAGGAAAGGAGCCATGAAGACTTATGTAATAACATATTCCACACACAACTTTACACAAGCCAGTAGAGAAAAACTGAAGTGTCCTAAACATCTAAGGAATTTTGAAGGGACAAGATTTGAGAAGCCAATGCTACGTAGCTTTAACTCCAGATGATAATTACCAGAATTGTTTATAATTTCTGCTCACAAGAGTTGGGGCAATATTGATGAAATAATAGCTTTTTCTTTCTGTCTTTCAGGTCCTAACTCAGTATCATGTTGGCTATAAAACATCTGTAAGATCAAGCAGTTGAGCTTAAGATAAATCATTTAATCTTTTCCACAGTCCATTTTCACTGGGTGAAAATGACAGCTAAGGAAGCTGAGCTGGGATGAAAGGCCTCCCAACAAAACGACCTTGACAGATTAGAGAACTGGGCCAAAACAAACAAGATGAACTTTAACAGGGAGAAATGTAAAGTATTGCACTTGGGCAAAAAAAATGAGAGGCACAAATACAAGATGGGGGACACCTGGCTTGAGAGCAGTACATGTGAAAAGGATCTAGGAGTCTTGGTTGACCACAAACTTGACATGAGCCAACAGTGTGACGCGGCAGCTAAAAAGCCAATGCAATTCTGGGCTGCATCAATAGGAGTATAGCATCTAGATCAAGGGAAGTACTAGTGCCACTGTATTCTGCTCTGGTCAGACCTCACCTGGAGTACTGTGTCCAGTTCTGGGCACCACAGTTCAAGAAGGACACTGACAAACTGGAACGTGTCCAGAGGAGGGCAACCAAAATGGTCAAAGGCCTGGAAACGATGCCTTATGAGGAACGGCTAAGGGAGCTGGGCATGTTTAGCCTGGAGAAGAGGAGGTTAAGGGGTGATATGATTGCCATGTTCAAATATATAAAAGGATGTCACATAGAGGAGGGAGAAGGGTTGTTTTTTGCTGCTCCAGAGAAGCGGACACGGAGCAATGGATCCAAACGACAAGAAAGAAGATTCCACCTAAACATTAGGAAGAACTTCCTGACAGTAAGAGCTGTTCGACTGTGGGATTTGCTGCCAAGGAGTGTGGTGGAGTCTCCTTCTTTGGAGGTCTTTAAGCAGAGGCTTGACAACCATATGTCAGGAGTGCTCTGATGGTGTTTCCTGCTTGGCAGGGGGTTGGACTCGATGGCCCTTCTGGTCCCTTCCAACTCTATGATTCTATGATTCTAACAAATCGCTCATCTGTAACGACGAAGCAGCAGAAAAAACTGCTTTTGTTTCCTGACTTGTCGGGAATATTTGATGCTATGGAGTAATAGAGCGACAGAGGGGGGGCAGGGACTTTCATTCCATTCCTTTTCACTGCCACCAATCGGTATACAGTAGGTATACAATTGGTGCCGCCCCAGAGTTCGGCGCCCATCTGCCCCGCACCCCTTGCACCCCCAGGTAAAGACGGCCCTGGGTACGCCACCAAGGCGTATCAGAGGCGTTGCAGGGTCTTAAAACAAAGTACACACATGGATACACAGTGAACCCATTCAAACCCTCAGGAACTAATGCCTACAACCATCTTACCAGAATAAGTCAAGGAAACTCCATTTTCTGAAATGTAGAAATTCACCCAAAATAGCCAAATAAATTGTTTCATTTAGTTCTAAAGGTAATAAAGATGCTGTACACAGGTAAAGGGAGAAAGACCTGAGTAGCCATGGGGGTGGGTCAGGGTCAGACATAATCACCAAATGCCCCTCCTGATTGGCAGATTGGGCAATATCACACATGTCAAAGAGCCAGACAGAAGTCCATCAGACTCACAATAAATGTACAAGAACCCATCTCAGGATGGGAATTCACAAGGTGCATCAAGTATAGATGATGCCAACTGATTCAGGATCAAGGAAACTACATACTTTCTTTAAAAGATGAAAGACAGGTGTATAATCACTGCCTTGAGTGACAAGGGGCATGCATGGGACTCAGATTTCTACCTCTCATTGACATGTTTCTGACATTTTTATGATGCTTCTTGAAATGTATTATGGGAAATTGTGGTTGCTTTTAAAAAGTTGTTCTGGCTTCTTCTTTGCTTGCTTAGGAGTTGAAACATTGTTGTGACAATTAACAATCAGGCTTAATAGCTGCTCTTTTGCTCTTTAACTTGGCTGCGGTCTCTTCTTGAACCTGACAAATTTTGGACCCACAGAACCAGATCCTGACAAAGTTGGGAAACCCTTTAAAAAGGGTACCCCAATTTTTGTTCTCTCCTTAACAGTTGTAAAAGAAATAAGCTATGTGTAAGAAAACCTTTGTGTAAAGGTATAGCAACCCCCTGTTCCTTAGCAATGTTTATTTACAACAAATAAGGAAGAAAATAAACAAAACAGTTTATTTAATTCATGGATTCAGTTGAGGAGGGAGGAAGAATTATCTCCTTATCCTTGAAAATCTGTGAGAGAGCATTTGTTCTGATCTTCTTGTAACTTGGCAGATTGTGGTTTGTTTCCCCACCAAAATCTTCATCCAGAAAAGCCTCAAAGAAAATGTCCAAAAATCTCATTAAAGTTACAGATGGGCCTGTGGCATATTTAAATCTGTCAGTGCAAAAACTCTGGGCATCTTTGCTTCAATAGTTCTTATTTCAGTTTTAAATCTTTTCAATATTAAATTCCTCCTTCAGAAAAGACAGGTTTTTCTTATATACTGTGTACAGCAAGTACATCATATTCTAAGGTTCTGCTTTTGCCCTCTTGTGGGAAGGAAGA